AGTTCTTCCTGTAGAACCCAAAGAAGGAACCAGTCACCAACAGCCAGGGTTTTCATCTGATTCATTTTTCCCTCCTTGGGACTGTTCAAATGTAAGCTCCATGAGAGCAAAGGATTTGAGCGACTCAGCAGCTGAGAGATCTAATGTGAACAGAGGGCAGGATGGCATGTGTACTTAAATGACAGTGACTTGGTGACAGAACCTTTAAAATGCTCCCAGATGCACAGACTGGCTAAAGTAATCTTGTTAGGAGTTATTCTGCCAAATGATAAATAACATTAGTAAAGCAAAACTCAGCCTGAATTATCATTTGGTATAAGCCTGGATAAGCTAAGAGCAGGACTGTCTCCCATCCATTCAAATGCAGGTATTTATGGGGCATTATGTGTGCAAAGCCCTTTGTCACATCTCAGGAGCTGAGAACTGGAAGGAAGTGCAGGTATCAGCCACCAGGTTGCAGGTGGGAAAGCTAAAACCCAGAGAAAGTTTACCTGAGAAGGTACGAGCCCCAGGCCTGCTCCCAGCTCTGCTCCCCACCCCCACCCCTGCCAGGCCTCGCAGCCCTGCAGAATTCCAAAGTCAGCAGCTGGACCAGGCTCTGTACAACACCCTGAGTAACACTTCTCCATTCAACAAGGGGCTGGAGAGGGATAGGTCCCCACCTCTTTGTGTTACGGGTCCCCAGGAATTGAATGACTTGGCCTCCCTCCCAGACCCCAGGACACAAGCTTGTGCCTTCCAGCAGATCCTGGCTGAGCTCACAACTGTCTGCTGACCCCTTGTGGCTACTGTGGGATCTGTCCTGGCCCAGTAGCCTGGGCCTCGGTTGCTCCTCTGGGACATTCTGGCCTAGTAACCTCACTTCTCAAGGCATTTCCTACCACTTACCTTGTGGAGTCCTCTCTACAATCCCAGGAGGCCAGGAGAGCTAGGATCTCCACTCCTACTTTATAAATGAGTGGCAGCGTCCTGCGATCCAGTACCAAATCCTCCATGAATTCCTTACCTAACTTTGACAAGTCAGGTCCCCACTCCTAGCCTCACTTACCCACCAGTAAAATAACAGAAGTGACTTGCACAAGTCAGCCCTAAGGTTTTTTCTTCACCCCAGAAAATCACAAAGTGGAGAGGTAACTTGCCCAAGGTCAGAGTGAAGCCAGGCAGAAGCACTCCCAGCCAGCAGGTCACCCCACTTCCCCACACTGATCAGGAAAACTGAGAGATATCACAGCAAAAAGAAAGAGTTCTTCCACATTTGTGTTCTGATTGTGTGGTGAAGGGCCACATGGTTGGTTGAATGGATGGATGGATGGATGGATGGACGGATGGATGGACTACTGGGGTAGATATGTAAGAACTTTGGGTTCACTCTGAGCTGCAGCTGTAGCAGCCAGCTGCCTTCCCCTGCTCCCTGACAAGCTGTGGCTATAATTCCAGCTTCCTAGCCCCTTGGCAGCCTACTCCACATCCACCTGCTGGGGTTCTAAAGCCACTACCCCTGTCTGACAGCCTGGAGCTGAGACCTGCCATGAGGCGAAAGCCTTCCTCCCTGCCATGTCACTGACCACTGTGGTCGACAGTAGTAGCCCAGGAGGAAAAGTCAGGGGCCAAGGCCATGAACAGGCCCACACAGAGCAATTCCTCTGCCAACCTCTGTGGGTATCCCTCACAGAGCAATTTCTGCAGCCAAAAATGGCTAGAATTGAGTTTGGTGCTCACAGTGAGGCCAAGGATCACCAGAGTGACTGGGTGGTATGGAAAGAGTATGCCTTATGCATCTGACAGCCTGGCTCAAACCTCCTGACTCTGGGAAAGTTCCTTAGCCTCTCTGCCTTGGTTTTCTCACCTGTGAAATGGGCATAATACCTGACAAGTATTGTGAGGACTGAATGAGGTAAAATATGAAATGCTTTGCATGTAACAGGTGCTTGGTAAATAGAAGTTCCCTCCTTTTGCTCCAGGTGATGGAGAAATTCTGGAAGGAAAACAAGGTCCACTGTGCAGCCAGTATGTTTTATAGGCTGGGAGTTTTTTCCAAATACTCTAAAGTAGTGACATGCATGTGGTGATAGAGGAGGAGCGAATTAAATATATTTTCAGCAAGAATTAAAGGTGTGCTCAAATAGACATGATCCCTTTCAAAGAGATTATATCATCTGTGCCCTGCCCTTAGCATAGTTCTTCAGAGATTTCCTGAGGGTGAAGCTGGGAACATGTCTTCAGAGCTAATGGGCTGTAGGTGGGACTCCTGTGCCTGCATCCCCCTCATCTCCATCTCCCTAACCCAGCCTAACTCTCCCTAAACAGCCTATCTATCCCAGGATCACTGACAAGGTCTACTTAGCCACCTGGCAGAAGGCAGACTTGGGCTTTAGTACAGCTAGTATTACAGCTGAGGCTCCTGCAACACCATCTGTGAAATCATGCTCCAGAAGGCTTTAGGCCCCAGGCCCTCCACTTTCAACTAAAGTAATAAAGACGGGGAACTTAACACATGGTGGTCAGGAGATGGTCTTCAGAGTGAGACAAGCTTAGGTTGGCCTTTGTCACTTACTAGGTGCCCAACCTTAGGCAGGATTCTTACTCTGAGCCTCAACCTCTCACCTATAAAATGGGGCTGATAAAATCCCCTACTCTGTCATTGGGAGGATTCAATGAATCATGTTTGAAAAGAGCTGAGCCTTGTGTCTGGCACATGAGTGCTAAAGAAATGTTAATACGGCAGAAGTCTTGATTACCAGAATGAGCTTCCAGGCAAGATTTCATTTGAACTAATAGTTTCACACGTGCATGCATGCATGTATGTGTATCCACTGAACTAAAGAATCTCTAAACCTCCTTAGCTTCAAGATTCTATTTCTTGAACAATATCTTCCCATCTAACATCCCTACATTCTTTCCCTGCTGATTTTTCTTCTCTTTAAACTTCTTTTCCCTCCCAACAATTAAGTGGACTCTCTAGAATTCCAACATTTCTTGTTCCCTGCTTAAATGCAACAACCCCTGGTTTTTAATGCAAAAATGGGAAGGCTCAGAGAGAATGCATTATGTGAGATCCAGGAAGTAGGGAGACCCCAGGGACAGTTTGGAGAAAGAGGGGCTGGGCTGCTCTGTGTGCCCTGTAAAAACTCCAGGATCCCCAAAGCCTTTCCCCTTTCCTGGCACATCAGCTGATAGTCAAGGGAAAATATTTGCAGAAAGGAAACAAATACACCAAATTTAGGAAAGACACCAAAGCGCTAGCAGTGGTTGATCTAACAGAAGAGGTTTTTGGCAGATGTGGTATAATTCTCGTATGATAAAATTTAAATATTGAAAATATTAAAATAAAATTTAAATACTGAGACTCAATTATTCTAATCAGTTGTGATCAGCCAAAAAACAGATAAGAGTCAGGAAAAAGACTGCTTTTTACCCCTACTGAAAAGCTCAGATGGTGAAAAACACAGATGGTGTTGCAGGAGCACACTCCAGTTCTCAAAGGAAGACCAAAAAGGAGGACAAAAAAACATCATGAACATCTCCCCCTCGCCCTCCCCAGGCCTCCTGGGCTGGGGACTCCCGGATATTCAGCTTAGAGGAAGGCCTGCTGCCAGGCAGAGAGACTGGAGAGAGGCGTGGTGAAGACAGGAGGAGGATGACTTCCTGAGGAAGACTTCCAAAAGCCACTCAGGGTACTGATGTCCTTACCTAGCAGGTGTTGTGATGTAGAATGACCACTCTGTGGCAGTCAGGAAACCTGCTTCTAGTTTTCTGCCATTAACTTGCTGCATCACCTTGGGCAAATCAAATCACCTCTCTGGACTCAGTTTCCTTATCTGTAAAATGAGGGGACTTTGTTAAGTTAAAAAATATATATATACTAGGCCCTTGCTCTAGGCACTGTGCTAAAGCTATAATACAAAGAGGAACCAGTCATTTATTAAAAACAAAAACAAAAAGCAAACAAAAAAACACTGAGTGACTACTCCATTTATTAGGCATTGTGGTTACAGATGAGTAAGTCAGGGTTCCTGCCATTAAGACATTCATACTCTGGTTAGGGAGACAGTGAGCAAACAAGAAATGGCCAACCACTACTCAGAGCAGACAGAGGTGTGGGCACAGGAATGATTGGCCTTTTCCACTGGGACCAGGTGGGGCAAGTGTCACAGAAGAAGCCTGGACTGGATCTTGGATGATCCTTCATTCCTGCTCTCAAAGTCCATACCATCTAATTGGGGGTTAGGACAAATGCCCAAACAGCTACCACACAAGGCAAAATGAAGCCACTCTGGGTAATCCAAGTTCAGAGGGGAGAAGAAACCCATGTGACAAAGGCAGGGTGGGGTAGGGGTAGGCAGGAGGCAGAAGGAGGTCAGAAACACTTTGCAGGAAATGGCACTGAGATAAGCTTTGAGCGATGAAGAGTTTCCTGACAGTCCTGAGGGGCTGAAGGGGTGTTCTGGATGAGAGGCCTGTGCATGTAAAGGCACAATGTGGGGACTGTCAGAGTGTAGTCAGAACAGCAGGCAGGCCAGGGAGTGAGTATTAGCAAGGCTGAAAGCCAGTGGGAACCATCATGATAAGAGCCATCAGCAATGACAGGCCCTCCACACCACACACCACATCCTCACACTAGTTCTTGGAGGTCGGCTCCCTCACTACTAGCCCACTCTTTCGGATAAGGAAACAGAGGCTCAGAGAGTTTATAAAGTCACACAGCTGAGGGGTGGCATATATAGCCCTTAACCTAGGTCTGTCCAATGCCCCCACCTTGACCCTCTTACCACTAGGCAGCAGCACCTTAGATGCTTCCCATCTAAGGTACCACTGTCCTAGGACACCTGGCCTAGCATTTCACTTCAGACACGCGGGTACCAGAGGTCGATCTTTGCCTTAACCGTGGAAGCTAGCTTGACTTAGCCTCCTCCCAGTTAGGCAGCTATGGGACCATCAGGATCACCTTTACCAGAACAGATAGGCTGGGGTAGGGCAAGGAATATTATAGCTGCTGAAGGTTTTGGTGGTCCACTGTCCGCTGGTCTTGGTTTATTGTGGTTCTGTCATGGTCTAGGTCATGGCTAGTTTCTACCTCTCCTCTTCCTGTAGTGTAGTGTCGTCATGGCTCAGGGGCAGATTATTCTGCCTTGGCTAGGGTGGCTGGTTTTTCCTGTGAGGATAGAGGTTGAACTAGACCTTGTACACTGGGATACTATCCAGGTACTGCTGGATGTTAATGGATCCCTGTCTCCAGCGCCCCAGCTTTCTGAGCTGCTCAGTCATGAACTTTTTCTTCAGGTGGTCATACAAATGGCTCATCTTTTTCTTGGTCTTGTCTGAAGCTCTCATCTGACAAAAAAACCAGAGGTGATGTTAAGATGAAGAAGCTGTTTCACAGAAAGAGAAATGACCATGCTGCTGATATGGGGGTGGAAAATATGCCAGCTGGACTCAATATTCTATAAATATATCGACTCATAGGGAGCCTCAATTGCCCTATTTGTAAAATGTGGGCATTGAGCTAGATTACCCCTACAGTGCCTCCAACAGTCTACAGCCCAGAGGCCTAATTTTGACCTCAACATCTCTATTTGAAAACTGGTCAGAAAGAGGTGCAGGGTGGGGAGGGTGGAAGGAAAGACCATCTTGTTCCTCCTCCTCCTCAAATCCTATCACCTTGTCCCTATTACTCATTTAGTGCTTACCACATATTGTCTGCGACATCCTCTATATCACGCTGAACTCTACTTATTTTGTCTGGCACATCATTTCTTTCCTTTCCCCAACAAGACTGTAAGCTCTGGGAAGGCACATTCTCTATCTTACTCGCTCATGTACTTATTCCAACGAGCTAGCTGTGAAGAGGATACTAATAAAAATCAGCCGCAGGTCTTCATAGTGACTACAACATAGTCAGGAAGGTGGGGCACATGCCCAAATATTTCTAAGTGAGGCACAGAGTGCCACATCCCTAAAAGTACAGAGTTCAAAGAACGTAGATATCAAGAAAAGCCTTCTGGAAGAATGCATATAAATTGGGGTTGGGTTTTAAAGGATGGGAAAGTATTGGGCCTGTGAAATCAGAACCAGATGGGAGGTGATCCAGGGAGTTGACATTTTCACAAACTCTCCCAGGAGTTCCAGGCACTGACATTGTCTCAAAACCCAGCACAATGTAAGCAAAGGAGAATTCCATAAAGGCCAGACAGTGTTGCCATGATTATGTGACAAAGGGAGTCAAAGAACCTAAGTGAATCTTGGGAACAATTGATAAAGAGGGAGGGTGGGTATGTTCTCTGAGTATGCTCAGATTATTCCCAAGACACAGGGTCTTAGCTGTTCTTGTCAAGGTCCTGAGAAATCAGTGGCTAGCCAAAGCTGCCTCTTTCTAATGTGCCTCTCTTCCTTTCTGCGGGGAGACAGAAAGACTGCCATACTGGGCTTTTAGCAAGTCACCAGGTCTACAAATAAGAAGATAGTCTTTGTCCTTAAGGAAAGATGTCCCATACTGTGGTCAGTCAGATGCAGGTTTGCACCTCTACAATGATGCACAGTATGACTTTAGTGAAGTTACTCCATCTCTCTGAGCCTCAATTTCCTGAACTATTAAATGAGTTAATAATACATAATGGACATTGCGTACCTAAAACATATAAGGGCTCGATACAGCTTTAAAAGAACTTCTGGATGACTTAAGGGTGTTTGGCACAGCCCTCTGGTACATATAAAGCACCTCAGGAAAGTCTCCAGTTATAGTATCTCAGGGATCCTCAACCCACTTGCCAAATAGAACATCCCCTTCCCTACTGGTTATAGGAATTGACCCCCAATCCATCCCAGGCCAGTCAGAATAGCTCATACCCACTGGTCACACTGATTGGGGCAACGATGGGCCAGTGACACACCCTGGGCCAATGGGAGTCCTTCTCCAGGAACTGTTTAATGTGAGAAACAGTGGAAACACTCCACTTCCTTTCTAGGCTAAAGGCCAAGGTTTCCTGAGGCCATGTCCCCAGGGACAGCCAGCCAACATGCAGAAAGACACAGAAAAGAGATAAAAAGGGAAAGTGGAAAACACATCTAATGGTATATGAGCCCCTGGCTCCTCTCATCCCAAACATTGGTGAGCCCTACCTATCCTTGATTATGTAAACACATTGTTCTCTATTTACTTGTACTAGTTCAAGTTCAGTGCAAGTCACCTGCAACTGGAGGATCCTAGTAGATCCTAGTTTACAAATGAGAAAAGAGTCCTGGAGGAAATGTGATTCCCAAGGTCACACAAAGCTAGCTTACCCATTGCCAAGTCCACCTTCTTTCTACTACACTGTGCCACTGAAGTTTAGCAGAAGGAGAAACACCCAGACCCCTGCTCTTCTTTTGGCTTCTATGGGCTTTAAGAGGATCTAGCATCATCTCCCAAGCCTCTTCCACTCTTTTTAATGTCAGAATCTCATAGGCCCATCCAGATTTGCGCCTGGAACATTGGAGAGAAGTCAACAGAGTCAAGAAGGGGGCAGAAACTCAACACTGGGCTCCCTGCTCTGCTTGAAGAAAGGAGTACATTCTCATAGTCCAGCAGGTTCTCCAGCCTCTTCCTAGTGCCCAACTCAGGGCCTATCCCAAAGAGCCTCTAATGACATATTTAACGAATTAATTGAGCCTGTGGGATGAAAACAGTGTTTTCCCTCCCCTTCTTCTGCAGGCTTTTAGGTAAACAGGTCCAACCCTACTTATAAGCAAAAAAGGGGAAGGACCTCAGTTCTCCTCCAGAAAACAAGGGGAATCCCTGAAGGAAAAAACAGACGTTATTACGTTGTTGATGCCACTTCGAACTCTAAGACCCGAGATTTCTTTCTACAGGATATAGCAGAATCCATTTATGGATTCCCTAAATAGAGAAATAACATGAATAGAGGGGGGGAAATGCCACTAGAGCCAAGAAACAGGAATCCTTCTCCCTAGCTCCCTTGGCCCAAGAATAGCTAAGACATCTGGGGCAAATCAGTAACCCTGAATCTCAGCTGCCTCCTCTGTAAAATGGGACTAGCTTTAAAGCACCTTGATGGCCCCTTATCACCTCTGAGATCTGTGATCCACATGCCCCAAGGCTACTGGGGATAGTGAAGTGAACATGGATCAAGCCACTAACACCCTGTAAGCCAAAACCTTTTGATGACTTTACCTTCATCTCATAGACTCGCTGTGCACTGAGGTTGTCACGAATAATCACCCGGGATAAGTTGCTCTTGGGTAAAAATTTTTTCATTGCTGCTTCACTGGAATTCATTAAGCTGGAAATGAGAGGGAAAAGTGGTGCAGGGTGAGATGGCTGGGGCCAGATGGCAGGGCTAGGACAGGGACTGGTTTACTGGGGTCCTAGTGGAGAGACCAAGGCTTCTCCAGGATAATCTTAGGAGAGGCGCAGCTCTGTCATAATTGTCAGAGGAGCAAGGGAGTAGGCCTAGGCTACTCCTCTTGCAAAAAACATGCGCTCAAGGGGTATTTTCTGGATGCTGAAAGGAAAACCCATCCTGAGAAGGATGCAGAAAGGCCCAGAGCAGTCCACAAGAAAAGTGTGAACAGGACTCAGAACTGTCCTCAGAAGCAGCCATCTTAAGGAGAAAATATAGGATGAGATGGGAGGCAGGGGTCTTAGTGGAGAGGAGCAAAAGTCATATGATAGCGGTCAGAGGGAGGTGAGGTGGAGAGCATTTGCTCCAGAGCCTAGGTCTAAGAAAGATTCGTAGTGGGAAGGATCAGAGGAAGCAGGGAAAAAGAGAGGTTTGGAGGTTAGGCTGGTTAATAAAGGAATTCTAAGGGAAGAAGGTTCGGGAAAAGTCTAGAAAAGAGAGGAAAGTCTGTGGGGGAGAAAGATTTGAGGAGATTCCCTAAGATGAGAAATAAAGATGGGATGGGAGGGAGGTGGGGGGGGAGGGATACGGAATGGAGCCAAGTGCTCCAGGTGAAACTAGAGATAAAAATTTGATGAAAATCAAGAATTGGTCAAAAATAGATATGCCAGGTTTTCACTTTTTGATAATTTGGTTGCACCATAAAGTGGTTTTGCAAATATGTACTTTAAGTGTTTTTGCCTATTTCAAAATAATTCTTCATATTTTCTTCCTAAAATGTAAGCTAAATGTACAATAGGGAAGCAATTGAATAAATTATAATTAGGTCATACAATAAAATACTATGCAACCATGAATAAAACAGACATACATGGTGTATTAGGTGGCAGTGGGGGAGCAGGCAGGTAACACAAGAGTGAACTTTCCTGTGACAAATTTTTCCCCTAAAAGATGTACCATGTTGTGGTACATGTATATGAGTGGATCTGGAAAAATATACACGGTGGTTATCTGTGGCCATAGATTTTGCTTGTTTGTCTAGTCTGGTTTTCCTACAAGTGTATACTACTTTGATAGGACAAAAAAGGCAATTTTTAAAGGTTAAAAAACAATTTGAAGGATTAAAAAATGTTTTTCTAATTTACTTTCAGCCAATTTCGAACTATAGTTTTATGAATGGTTTTACATTTTCAGACTAGTATAAACAAATGTCCCCAGTCTCCCATTTACATTTTTCTGACAGCAAAGGCATGAAATGAAAAAGGCTCACATACAAAAAGTAGGTGCTCACATACAAGTCTCCTATATTGTTTAAAAAAAAAAAAAGACCGAAAATACTTAAAGATAACATAAAACACTCTGCACCCACTCAGTGGTGTACCAAATTTACCAATACTTCCTGGGAAGATTAAAAAAGGGGGGGGAGTGGGCACCAGGGCAGTGACTGTAAATACCCCCTTTCAAGTAATAAATGGTCATTTTATGTATTTTTAAATTTTTTTTTAAATTTATTTCTGAGAGAGAGAGAGGGAGGCAGCGTGAGCAGGGGAGGGTCAGAGGGAGAGGGAGACACAGAATCCAAAGCAGGTTCCATGCCCTGAGCTAGCCGTCAGCACAGAGCCCGACGCGGGGCTCGAACCCACGACCGTGAGATCATGACTTGAGCCGAAGTCAGACGCTTAACCGAGAGCCACCAAGGCGCCCCATAAATGGTCATTTTAAACCAAACTGCTTTCCAATCCAAGGCCTTTGTGGGAGCCTAGAGGGGTTTCCAGGTTTGTGGAATGTAAGGGAAGGAGGGGGAAGTTGGAGTCTGCGGGGGCTGCAGCTAAGGTGAGGGGCTTTCTCAGGACTACTGGGGAACAGAGAGGCTGAGGAGAGGGATGTCAGGCCTGAGGGGGATTGGTACTTGCTAGGCTCTAAGGAAATTCAAGGCTGGCCCACAGGGCGCTGGAGACCCTGGGGCCACGCGATGTCAAGCTTGGGAGACTGAAGGGCCGAGGAGATTTGTAAGACACGTGGGTAGGAGGTGAGGATTTCAGCTTCTCCTGGGAGTCCGGGCCGAGGGTGTTCGGGCTCCAGGGGATGCGAAGAGCTGTACTACTAAGGAGCAGGGGCTCGCATCCGCGAGAAATCCTGACTCTCTTGTAGTTTAACAAAGCGTCAGGCTCTGAGGGGCTCGGGGCTCTGGGAGAGCCAAGGGCCGCTGGGGGAGCGGGAGTCTGAGAGATTTCCAGGTCTGAGAAAAGCCCTGGGCACCAGGGCCGCACCTGAAGAGCACCGGTTGCTTCGCTGTCCGCGGCCGCAGGAAGCAGATCTGCGGATGGGTCCCTACGTTGATTTCCGGGTAGGTACTGAGCGTATCGCGCCGGAAGGCCCAGGCCGGGGTGATGCCGGAACTGGTGGTCGCGTGGGCGGCAGCCGAATTACCCAAAGTCGAGCCCAGGTTCCATGTGACCGAGGGCCTGGGCTGCTGGGCAGCCGCGTCTTCCACCCTCGATGACGACTCAGGAATGGAAGCCAGATGATGAGCCATGTTCGGAGGGCGCGACCGGACAGAGTGAGTCCTAGGGCAGACACGTTGCGCGAAGCCAAGCGCGTTACCCGGGTGACAAGTGACGGAGGGTGGGGCCGGGAGGCGGGACTTGTGCGCGGAATCCCGGAGGCTGCGGACGCGACAGAATTGTCCCTCGGCGGCCTCCGTGATGCGGCTCGGTGTGTTGTCTTGGAGATGAGCTGGGCATTTCTAAACGGGTGCAGAGAGCGGAGCTGACACTATCTCTCCGCTAAAACTGATGTGACCCCGGCGTGATCGCGGGGCGGGTAACCTGGAGAGGACGGAAGAGGCCGCTCCAGAGAGCGGAGAGGAGGCCGGGGTTTCTCCGAAGACCCGGTCCTGAGGATCCCTCTCCGCGAGGAAAGACCATTGCTATGGAAACCAGAGCTTGGGGCAGCCGGGGATTGTGGCCAGTCTGGTGACCAGTCTTCTTTCTTCCCGAGACCCTCGCCCACTTCGGGCGACGCTGCTTTCCTGCCCACGAGAGAGAGGTAAGACTTTGGGGGTTCTTGACAGCCAGCAGGCAAAGGAGCCTATTCCAACACTAACTCCCCAGGAAACCTATGTGACTCGCTTCTGGAAGGAGCTCTTTGCTCTTGTCAACCCGTGGACTTCGTTCCACGCTTATAACCCAGCAATTATGAACGCCCCGCGGTGTTTGCCGACTTTTCTTGCCCATAATGAGACCAGAAAGATCAGCTTTAGGACCTTGCTTTGTGACCCTAAATAGGTCCTTTTCTCCTCTCTACCTCACTTTCCCCGTGTATATAATGGAGATATAACCCCATACACCGGCCTATTATGTTGGTTTGAAGATGGAACCAGATGACGGAAGCCAAAGGCTTTGTAGGCTATAAAACGATGAAACTAATTTACACCCCCTCCCTTTCATGCTGACCGTTTTCAAATCTTTGTGTCATTTCTTGAGGCAATCATTGCAACTCCCTCACCCGAGCTGAAATAAATCCCTTTACTCTTCACTCCCATAATGCCCTGCATTTCAACGTCCCTAACAGTAGCGAGTTACCATGGCTTACTCTGTGCCAGGCCCTGTGTTAAACACTTTACCTAGGTTACCTCATTTCATCCTCAGAAGATCCTTATAAGATAGGCATTGTTATCCTTGTTTTCCAGCTCTGTTGTGTTTATTATTGTCCATTTAATGTCATCAGTATCTCTTACTAGACTTGGAGCTCTGTGAGAGGAGGGGCCATGACTGTCTTGTACATTTCAATATTCCTGGCACCTAATACAGAACCTGATAAATATTTTTTGACTAGCATGAAAATGTCTCTCCTCCCAATATTACCCTCACCTTCAAGAAAAGTGTCTTCTCTGAGGCGCCCGGGTGGCTTAGTCGGTTAAGCGTCCGACTTTCGCTCAGGTCATGATCTCGCGGTTTGTGGGTTCGAGCCCCGCGTCGGGCTCTGTGCTGACTGCCAGCTCAGAGCCTGGAGCCTGTTTCAGAGTCTATCACTCCCTCTCTCTCTGACCCTCTCCTGCTCACGCTGTCTCTCTCTCTCCTAGAAATAAATTAAAAAAAAAAAAAAGTGTCTTCTCTGCAAATGTTTTGTCACTGTGATCAATCACATTCTCTATTCCTGTTTCCCAGTGGGCACTAATTTTTGGGACCCTTAAACCACTTTTCTATGGATTTTTGGGTGATAAGTATCCATCGTTTGGGTAATTAACATCCCATAGCATTTGGACTTTCAGCTGAGTTTGAGGGGCTTTTTCTCTGCTCCCACATGACCTTGAGAATCTATCTGACATTCCTGAGGTGAATCTGATGCTTTGGGGGCATTGGCTGGTAGGATTTGCCCCAGTGTAGCCTTTGACCTTCCCCTCCAGCAGCTTGGAATCATTCTTACCTCTACTAAGCTCTTTTCCCAAATTCTAGACAAACATAGCCAGGGAACTCCTCTTTTCCAGAAGATCTCTCAGAAGGCAGAGTTGTGGCTGTTGGAGTCATTCCTTTGTCTAACAAATATTTATCAAGCGCCTACTTGTAGGGACACAGAACTTAGCATTAGTGATATGGTAGGAGTAAAGATACCATTACAGTGAATCTCAATATAACTCACAGACAAATCAAGGCAAAGGAAGTGGTAGGAAGAAGAGCACTTAGGGCTTAGAAAACCTGGAGCAGGGACTTGATCAAACGTGGGAGAGGGGTATAGTTCCAGAAGGTTTCCCTCAGGAAGTGACCCTTGGCGAAGATCCCAAGTCCTCTGCTGAATGGAACAGATTAGGATCTGTTAGGCTTGTAGGTAGGGAAAGAGGGTTGTGGGCTGAGAGAGCAGCAAAGGCAAAAGCCCTGGGCCAGGGAGAACCAGGTGTCCATATGGCACTGCTAATGGCTCAGCCTAGCTAAGGCCCTTCAGGACATAGGAGAAGCATTAGCTTTTACTAAAGAGGCTAGAGATGGGCATGAGCCAGACCACAAATGGCCTTGACAGCCAAACTGAGGGGCTCTATCTCATCCTGACAGTGGCAGCCAGTGAAATATATTAAGCAGGGGAACAGAACTTCTGCTCCTAATTTGTGTATGCCTGATGAAGACTGCTATTTTGCCTTGAGAAATGTACTTTAAATATGAATACTCCTATTTCAGTGGAACATGTGAAAATATGTTCAAGAGTAGGAGAATGAAGGGCTGGTGATTTCTAGGAGAAAGCAGAGTCATGTCCCTCCGTGGGGTATGTGCCACAACCCTGCTGCGCACAGCATCATGTTGGTATAGCTTGTCTGCCTGAGGTCCTTCTGCTTCGATGCACTTGCTCCTGGGAGCTGCTATAGTGCCCCTTACTAAGCTGGCCTCCAGGAAGCTTTCAGCTACCCTCTTCCCCAAGCATTCCTTAGAGGCAAGGTGCAGGAACTTGGTTAGTGATGTAGTGCTCTGTAATTTAATATTACTTTCACAGGGACATATCTGGTCTCTTCAGAGGGGTAGTTCTTTTTTTTTTTGAATAGTTTATTGTCAAATTGGTTTCCATATAACACCCAGTGCTCATCCCCACAAGTGCCCTCCTCCATGCCCATCACTCCCCTTCCCCTCCCCCCGCATCTGCCCTCAGTTTGTTCTCAGCGTACTAGAGCCTCTCATGGTTTGCCTTCCTCCCTCTCCCCCACTATATTTCCCCTTCTTCTCCCCCATGGTCTTCCGTTAAGTTCCTCCTAATCCTCCTATACGTGCAAACATATGGTATTTGTCCTTCTCTGCCTGACTTATTTCTCTCAGCATAACACCCTCAAGGTCCATCCATGTTGCTACACATGGCCAGATTTCATTCTTTCTCATTGCCATGTAGTATTCCATCGTATAGATAAACCACATCTTGATCCATTCATCCACTGATGGACACTTAGGCTCTTTCCATATTTTGGCTATTGTTGAGAGTGCTGCTATGAACATTGGGGTACATGTGCCCCTATGCATCAGCACTCCTGTATCCCTTGGGTAAATTCCTAGCAGTGCTATTGCTGGGTCATAGGGGAGTTCTACTGTTAATTTGTTGAGGAACCTCCACACTGTTTTCCAGAGGGGCTGCACCCATTTGCATTCCCACCAACAGTGTAGGAGGGTGCCCGTTTCTCCACATCTTTGCCAGCATCTAGAGTTCTCTGATTTGCTCATTTTAGCCACTCTGACTGGCATGAGGTGGTATCTCAGTGTGGTTTTGATTTGTATTTCCCTGATGAGGAGGGATGCTGAGCATCGTTTCATGTGTCTGTTGGCCATCTGGATGTCTTCTTTGGGGAAGTGTCTGTTCGTATCTTCTGCCCATTTCTTCACTGAATTGTTTGTTTATTGGGTGTGGAGTTTGGTGAGTTCCTTATAGATTTTGGATACTAGCCCTTTATCTGATATGTCATTTGCAACCCCTTCCATCGGTTGCTTATTACTTTTATGGATTATTTCCTTTGCTGTGCAGAAGCTTTTAATCTTGTTGAGGTCAGAGGGATAGTTCTTGAAGGGGGGAAGCTGAGGCCCTACTTTCTCTTATACCACCAGTAACTCCCAGCACAGTAGGCTCTGGTACCATATCACAGGTTCAGAGTCTCATGATTTAAGCATAAAGTCAGAAGAGATGGAAAACTGTGTGAGTGGTTCCCAGTTGGAGAAGAGGGCTATGTGAACCTAGATAGAGAGGCGAGGGCACAGATGATGGATACAAGTAAGTCTGTTCAGCCAGAGACATAGAGCCCCTCAAGGGAGGCCTTGAGTTCCAGACTTGGTGGAGATAAGTTCTCTGGGTAATTCTGCTGTGATGGTCAGAAGACCACCTTGAGGATCCTGCTGTAGAACCATCCATCCATTTCCCAGGAATCCCCTGCAGTTGGCTTTCTGGCCCAGCTGGGCTCCTGCTATCTAAACATTCTCTCCCTCCTTGCAGTTTCCCATGGCACAGTCTAGCAGAAAGATGCAGCCTTTGTGCCTCACTGGCCGCTGACCCACTGGCCTGATGACAGCACCCCCGTGTACCTTTCCGGTTCAGTTCCGGCAGCCCTCGGTCAGCGGCCTCTCACAGATCACCAGCAGCCTATATATCAGCAATGGGGTGGCTGCCAACAACAAGCTCATGCTCTCCAGCAACCAGATCACCACTGTCATAAACGTCTCAGTAGAAGTGGTGAACACTTTATATGAGGACATCCAGTATGTACAGGTGCCTGTGGCTGACACACCCATCTCACGTCTCTGCGACTTCTTTGACCCCATTGCTGACCACATCCACAGCGTGGAGATGAAGCAGGGCCGCACGCTGCTGCACTGTGCCGCTGGTGTGAGCCGCTCAGCTGCCCTCTGCCTTGCCTACCTCATGAAGTACCATGCCATGTCCCTGCTAGATGCCCACACATGGACCAAGTCATGCCGGCCCATCATCCGGCCAAACAATGGCTTTTGGGAGCAGCTCATCCACTATGAGTTCCAGCTGTTTGGCAAGAACACCGTGCACATGGTCAGCTCCCCTATGGGAGTGATCCCTGATATCTATGAGAAGGAGGTCCATTTGATGATTCCACTGTGAGCCATCTCGGCAGCCCCTGCACCCAGGTCAGAGGTGCAGATCTGCTGTTGACCAAGATCTGAACTTAAACATTCTGTTGTGTTGATACAGAAAAAACATATGATGCCTTTTATAAGGACCAGGAAATAAAGGAAAGGTACTGTAGCTTTTAACCTTATTATCCTTATCTTCAAAGATTAAATTCACTAACTGTACAATGGTGCAGATAAGTTTCCTACCCTGTGAGTGACAGGTCATGGCTGCTGGCCAGATGGGAGAGTGAGGCAAGTGCCCAGGTCAAATGGACCAGTGCCTAAAGCATATGGCAAGCCTGGGACCTGCTGCCCTCCCACATACTGACCCACGAATGAGTCAACCACCATTCCACTTTACTCTTTCAAACCCAAAGCCAGAGCCTTAAACATCATGGTGCCTCCTGTGCCACTCACAGTAAGTGCCAACCCACTAGATAAGTGGCCTTCAGGTGGTGCTCTGGGAGCCCTGGGGGCCCAGGCCAACCCTGCTTCCACCTTCAACCACAGGGGCCCAACTCTGGTTTTCTGGATTGGATTTACACATGACAGTTTTCAACGAAAGCATTCCACTGTATAAAAAATTTTTTTAATATATTTTGAGTGCTATTGTAGGTGACAAGGTCTCAAAGTACCCATGGCAGTCCCCGCCAGCCTTTGATGATGGCATTAGTTTCCTTCTTAGAGGCACATTGGAGAGCAGGCCTGACAACAGGCTTTAGGAGTTCTTCTCACAGGTCTTGATTTGGAAGACCAGAGCTGCACACCGGAACCTAGCCTTGTCATCTCCTCCCCATATGATCTGGGACCTCTTGGAGCCTCAGCTTTCTCATCTGTCCAAGAAATGACAGCCTTTTCTCACAGCGTTGTCATGAAGATTCAACAATTCCTTAACGTGGTGCCTGACAAATGGTCAGTGCTTATGGTAGCAACTCTCGGCGTGAATTATACTTTGGCCCTGCTGGTCTCAGCACGATCATCCTCACAATGGCATTTCCCCCATCTTTGCACAGGCCCTTACTGTTTACAAAATGCTCTTCCAAAAAGCTCTCCTATGTGAAGGAAAAAAAAAAGGTTTACGTTCTTTTACACCCTCCTTTAGAAGAGGCCTAGGCTACTTAGCCTTTTCAGAGTTCCCATTGTGTTTAGTCCATGTACGCCTTGGGGGTCCTAAAGCAAGGAACATACTTCCAGCTTCCCCCCACAGGCTTTGTTTAGATTGCCGACCACTAAAGTCAGTGCCCTGGTCTGGCTAACCACCTGAGTGTATGAGGGCACATGCCAAAGGGACAAATGAGTGGGCCCAACCTATAGGCCCTGAAATCCAAGATGGTTCAAACCTCCCAGGGGCCTGAGGATCTGACTCAAGACCAGTAATTCTAGTCCAGAGGTTTTCAAATGAACAACATAGGAGACAGACAAAAGCACAACTTCTCTGTGGGTCCAGAGCCCAGTGGAAACCAAATGCCTTCTTCCAAACCTACCCCACCCCCACTTCCATGAAGGGCATGCCCAAGGGTACAATTTTAGAGTGTGGGGGAGAACGAAAATCACTGCTCTAGACTACTTCTCATTTTACAGGCGAATAAACAGACCTACAAATACCAGGGCTGGTGTGGCAGAGCCCCCACAAAGCAGCCTTTCTGGAAGAAACCCAGGTGGAAAATTTCTTCACCTTGTTAAAATTTCTCTTAGCCTTGTTAAAAAGAAATTGACTGGGACATGTTTTATCTTCATTTTTTAAAACTTTGAATTAACTTATGATAAAAGTAACTTTTTTGTATGTACAGTTCTGTTTTAACACATTTGTGTAACTACCTCTGCAATTAGAACACAGCAGTTCCATCACCACAAAATTTCTCTGATGCCACTTCTTTGTTATCAAACCTTTGCCCCACCCCAGCCTCTGGCACATTCCAATCTGTTCTCCATTCCTGTAGATTTGCCTTTTCTAGAATGTCACATACATAGCATCACAGAGGATGTAATCTGGAGACTGGCTTCTTTCAGTATGTCTTTGAAATTCATTCATGTTGCTTTTTACAGCTAAGTAATGTTCCAATGTGCAGATGTACCACAGTTTGTTTTAACATTCACCCATTGAAGGATATTTGGGTTGTTTCCAATTTGGGGCATTTTGAATAAAATTGCTACAAACATTTGTGTATAGGTTTTTATGCGAACATAAGTTTTCATTTATCTAGGTTATATATCTAGAAGTGGGATCGATCAATTATATGGTAAAGATTATATTTAACTTTATGAAAAACCACCAGACTTCCAGAGTAGCTACATACCATTTTGTGTTCTACTATGAGAGATCCACTTTCTCACTAGGATTTGGTACTGCCAATACTTTTTATTTTAGCCATTCTGATAGATATGTGGTATTAGCTCAATTTGCATTTTCCTAATGGTTCATGATGGTGAGTATCTTTTTGTGTAATTAATTGCCTTCCACCCATCCTCTTTGGTGAAATGTCTATTCAACTCTTGCTCATTTTAAAATTGGGCTGTTTTCTCACTCTTAAATGTTTAGAATTCTTTAAATATTCTGGATACAAGTCCTTTGTCAGATACAGATTTGTAAATATTTTTCTCAGTCTGTCTTGTCTTTGCGTTTCTCTTAGAAATGTCTTTTGCAGAGCAAAAGTCTTTAATTTTGATGAAGTGCTACTTGCCAATTTTTCCTTTTATAGATTGTTGTTTTAGTGTCATGTCTAAGAACTCTTTGCCTAACCTCAGAGCACAAAGATTTTCTCCAATGTTAAAGATTGAGGGTTTAAAGTTTTCTCTTATTTGTATTATCTTTTGGTAAAAGGTGTGAGGTTTAGTTTCAGGTTCATATTTTTTCATATAGATGTCTAATGGTTTTAACTACATTTGTTGAAAATTGTCCTTTATTGAACTGCCTTTGCTACTTTTTGTAGGTTTGTTTTGGATTCTTTATTCTGTGAAATATATGTATCTTTCTCTTCACCAGTACCATAACTATTTTGATTACGGTACAGTAAGTTTTAAAGTCAGATAGTAGGAGTCCTCCAATTTTTCTTCTTTAAAAAAAATTGAGTTATTCTGGTTTCTTTGCCTTCATATAAATTTTAGAACCAACTTATCTGTATCAAGAACAACAATAATAAACTCCTACTGGGATTTCAATTGAAAGTGTGTTAAATTGGGGTGCCTGGGTGGTTCAGTCGGTTAAGCGTCCTACTTCGGCTCAGGTCATGATCTCACAATTCATGGGTTCGAGCCCTGCATGGGCCTCTGTGCTGCCAGCTAGCTCAGAGCCTGGAGGCTGTTTCAGATTCTGTGCCTCCCTCTCTCTCTGACCCTCCCCTGCTCACACTGTCTCTCTCTCTCTCAGAAATAACACATTAAAAAAAAATTTTTTTTTTAAAAAGTCTGTTAAATCTATTGGCCAGTTTGGGGAAAAATTGCTGTCTTTACTCTGTTGAACCTTCTGATCCATGAATATATTATGTATCCCCACTTAGTCTTTGAGATCTTTCATCAGTGTTTTGTGGTTTTCAGCATACAAATCTTATATATTTCACTGTATTTAAACCTTAGTATTTCACTGAGAGAGGGAATTGTAAAAAAAAGAATTAATGTTGGTTTCTAATTGTTCATTGTTGGTACTGTATAGAAATAGGATTGATTTTTGTGTGTTGACCTTGTACCCTATGACCTTGCTAAGAGCTTTTTTGTAGGTTCCTTGGCAGTCTACATGTAGACAATCACGTAATCTTCAAATAGAAATAATTTTATTTCTTCCTTTCTAATCTAAACATCTTTATTATTTTATTACACTGGCTACAACCTCCAGTATGATGAATATGAGTGATGAAAATAGACATTCTTGCTTTGTTCCTGATCTTAGAAAATGTTCAATCTTTTACCGTTAATTATGGTGTTAACTATAGGTTTTTGTAGTTAAGGAAACCCTTATATTACGTTAAGGAAGTTAGGCAAGAATAGGAAAGTATTTTCTCCTCTTCTATTTACTGAAAGAGATATGTGAATTGGTGTTATTTCTTTAAATGTTTGATAGAATTCACCAGGGAAATCGTCTGGACCTGGAGATTTCTTTTTCAGAAGAATTTAACAATGGACTCAATTCTTTTAATAGGTAAAGGACTATTCAGATTATCTATTTCAACTCGGGTGAGTTTTGGTAGTTTGTGAATTTTGAGGAATAGCTCCATTTAATTAAAATTGTCAAATTTATGCATGTAGAGTTATTTGTAGTATTCCTTATTATCTTTGTTATCTGCATGATCCACAGAGGTATCACCTTTTCATTCTTCATGCTGATAATTTGTCTTCTCTCTTTATTTCTTTATTAGTCTGGCTACCAGTTTATCAATTTTTAAAATCTTTTAAAGAACTACCTACTGGGGCAGCTGGGTGGCTTAGCTGGTTAAGCATCTCACTTTGGCTCAGGTCATGATCTCATGGTCTGTGAGTTCTAGCCTGTGTTGGGCTCTGTGCTGACAGCTCAGAGCCTGGAGCCTGCTTTGAATTATGTGTCTCCCTCTGTCTCTCTGTCCCTCCCCCACTCTTGCTCTGTCTCTCTCTCTCTCTCTCTCTGTCTCAAAAATAAATAAACATTAAAAGAAATAAAGAACTACCTACCTTGTTTTTTATTTTCTCTATTGTTCTTCCCTTTTCTACTTCTTGATTTCTGTTCTTTATTATTTCTACAGTTCTCCTTGTTTAGAACTTATTTTATTTTTTCTAGTTTCATAAGGTGAAAACTTATATTATTGATTTCACACCTACATCCCACAAATTTTAATATGCTGCATTTTCATTTTGTTCATTTCAAAATATTTTCTAATTTCTCTTGAAATGTCCTCCTTTACCCATGTATTACTTAGAAGTGTATAGTTAATTTCTAAGTATTTGGAAATTTTACAACTATCTCTCTGTTATTGGTTTCTATTTAATTACATCATGATGAAACCTCATAAGAAGAACATCATAAATCGTATGCTTTCATTTCTTTTCAATTTGTCAGCGTTTACTTTATCATGTAGGATATGTTCTATAATGGTGAATGCTTCATGTGCACTTAAGGCAAAAAGGTTATTTTGGATTAAGTGGTCAATAAATGTAAATTTATTGATTAATGGTGATGGTGGTTTCAATTCTTTTACACTCATCCTGATTTTCTGTTTACTTGTTCTACTGATTACCAAGAAAAGAGTGTTGAGATATTTAACTGAAGTTGTAGATTTATCTACACCTCCTTTCAATTCATTTAATTTTTGTTTTATGTATTTTTAAGCTTAGTTATTAGGTATATACATATTTAGGATTGTTATATCTTAATGATGAATTGACCCTTTTTTGATATCCAGTGTCTCCTTATCCTTCTTTATTTTTTGAAGTCTACTTTGTTTGATGTTAATATAACCACTCCAGCTTTGTTTTGAGTAGTATTTGCATACTTTAACATCCTTTTACTTTGAACCTACTACATCGTTACATTAAAATGGGTTTCTTGGAGACACCATATAGTTGGGTCTTGTTTTTACACATCCAATCTGTCTTTAAATTGGTGTGTTTAGACCAAAATTATCAATATTGGATTTAGGCCTACCATTTTGTTTTCTGTTTGTCCTCTTTTCCAGTTTTTTCCCTTTCCCTGCCATCTTTTGGATTATTGAATACTTTTAAAATATTCCATTTTAATTTTATATAATTTTTTAGGGGTTACACTAGAGAATATAATATACATACTTAGCTTTTCAGAATCTATTTAGAATTAATATCTTATCCACTTCCCTCTGATAATGTATTAGTTTTCTCTTGCTGCTGGAACAAGTTACCACAAACTCATTGGCTTAAAACAATACCTACCAATATTTCACAATTTATATAGATCAGAAGTCTGGTTGGGCTTGACTGAATCCTTTGCATAGGGTCTCACAAGGCCAAAATCAAGATATTTCATAAGGCCAAAATTACATGCATTTTTAAATTGTTTTTGTTTTGTCTTGTTTTTTACTGGACAGATTCTGCTTCTAAGTTTTTTGAGGTTGTTGACTGAATTCAGTTTCTTGTTGTTGTAGGGCAGAAGACCCCATTTCCTTACTAACTGTCAGCGGTGGGCTGATGTTTTCTCCTGGAAGCTGCCCACATTCCTTCAAATGCTTTCCAGCAAGTTGAGTCCCTCTCACATGCTGAATACCTTTGGCTTTTCCCTCTGTTGCATCTCTCTGAATCTAGCCAGAGAAAGTTCTCTGCTTTTAAGGATTCATGTGATACACTAGGCTCACCCAATATTCCAGGTAATCCTCATTTTATTTTTAATGTTTTTATTTATTTTTTAATTTTTAGAGAGGTTGACACAGAGTATGAGTGGTTGGCGGGGGCGGGGGAAGGGGCGCAGGAGGTGGTGGAGGGCAGGCAGAGGGAGACACAGAATCCGAGACAGGCTCCAGGTTCTGAGCTGTCAGCACAGCCCACTGCAGGGCTTGAATTCGTGAACCTCAAAATTATGACCTGAGCCAAGTCAGAAGCTTAACTGACTGGGCCACCCAGGCACCACCAGGTAATCCTCATTTAAAAGTCCATAAATTCAATTAGATCTACAAAGTCCCTTTTGTCATTTAAGTAACATTCACTGTTTCCAGAGAATTGGGCAGGAACATCTTTGGGAGGGATGAGCATTCTGCCCATCACAGTTAATTTCTATTGATCTATCTTCAAGTTCACAGACTTTTCTCTATCATCTCCATTCTGCTACTAAGCCATCCAGTATGTTTTCTAATTTTGATAAATATAATTTCTTAGTTTTAAATTTTCTATTTTGTTATTTTCTGTATCTTCTATTTTTCTGCTAATTTTTTTCATTTCTAAAGTCTTTTTCCAATATATCTGTCCAGGTCATCTCAGTGTTCAGACTTTCTTGGTTCTTTCTATGTAGAGTAATTTTGGATTGTATCCTGAGCATTTTGAATATTATGTTATGAGACTGTAGGTCTTAGTTAAATCCTATGGAAAATGAAAACTGGGGGGGCAGTTGCCCCATTGAAGTTCAGTTCTGATCTGCCTCCCATGCACTGTTAAAAACACCATTACAAGCACAAAGCACAAAATGGAATCATTTATGCTGAGCCCCATGTCACCAAACTGAGACTTAATTTAATTACAGTTTGGGCTCTACCAGAAATGGAATGTTAAACTAGTCAATCAGGAGTTGCCTGATCAGTACTAGTTAGGTAATCTTCCTGATAAATCCCTGCCATCTTCTAAAGAGAAATAACCTTGCAATAACCTAGCCACATTTTGCCTGCTCCCTTCTGTCTAAAAATGTCCTTCATTTTGTATAGTTCCTTGGAGCTCCTTTCTTTCTGTTAGATTGGATGTTGCCAGAGTCATGAACTGTTGAATAAAGCCAATAAGATCTTTAAAATCTACTCAGTTGAATTTTGTGTTTTAAAAGGATCATACTCCCAATATCAGTTCAATTTTCAAAACTTTTGCAATGTAGTTTAGATCTGTCCTGTTTGTGCCACCCAGGGGCCAGTCTGAAATCTGGGTGGTCTACCTAGTTTAGTTCTGAAATTCATTGGAATACTATTTAGAGTCAGATCTATGCATGAAGACTAGCAGTTCACATGCAACTTTATGGGATCCATTTCTCAAGCTCCCTCCTCTCCACGATCTCTGCCACACTTCTGAGTTTTCAAGACCACCCATTCCCCTGTTCCTCCAGCTAGAAATCAGGGCCTTTTGGTCTGCCTGCTGTGCAGCATACATTCTGTGACTGGGTCTGCTCTGGGGCAAAGTGACAGGATGGAGAGAGAAAAGGCAATGGGAATATCTCCCCCTGCCCCTCCCTCCCTCTCTCCATACACACTTTTCAGGTGACAGTTCTTTTGGTCAGAGAACAAGATTCCCCTCAGAATTTGGTGTGCTTTCCCAGCTGCCACTGCCACTGCTGCTGCCCTGAGTTTTAACTTAAGTATGAGGCTTGCCTGGGAATAGGGCAAAAGAAGAGAAAAGTAGGGAAGGATTTCCTTTACTTTGTCCTAAAGGGGCCCTCCTTTCTACTCCTCAGACCAGGAAGATGGCTTCTCTTGGAATGTTTTCTTCCATGTCCAGTGCACAGTGCCAGGAGTCACACTGCCTCTGAGATCAGGCCAGGAGATAAAGGAACAAAAAACAAAACAGGAAGCTCACCGCCAGATTGTTTATACTTCAGGTTCTGATTCCCTTTCCCAAACCACCTGCTACCATTTCGTTTTCAGAGTCCTCAGAGAGCTGCTCCATTCTGTCTAGTGTTTTTAGTTGCATTTGGGGGAAGGACAGCTGATGCTTACTCTGTCTTACTCAGAACTGGAACCCTAATAAATTTATTTTTAAAAATATGTGCCCATTTGCGGGAAAAAAATATGGTCCACCTACAATAGTATCTCGAGGCAATAACAAGTCAACATTTTGGTGTAGTGGTGTATTTCCTTCTATGCATTTTTCTTTTTCTTTTCTTATTTTTTTGTAGTTGAGTAAATGCAATTTTGGATCCTCCTTTTATTTATTTATTTATTTATTTTTAATGTTTTATTTATTTCTAGGAGAGAGAGAGAGAGAGACAGCGTGAGCAGGGAAGGGTCAGAGAGAGAGGGAGTCACAGACTGAAACAGGCTCCAGGCTCTGAGCTGGCAGTCAGCACAGAGCCCGACGCGGGGCTCGAACCCATGAACCGTGAGATCATGACCTAAGCGAAAGTCGGACGCTTAACTGACTAAGCCACCCAGGTGCCCCTGGATCCTCCTTTTAAAAAATATTCTTTTTAATTTCAGAATCGGTTGTGGTAGGAGCAGGATTTCACATGCTAAGTGGAGGAGGTTGAGATTGAGGGCTACAGGGAAGGTCCAAGTCCTTTTCCCAAATAGTTCACTCCGTTCCTTCAAACTCAGTAGAGTGGACCTTTACTCAAACAACACAGGAAAAGTGGGCCATGTTGGAGTTTTGACACAGTTCTGTACTAGGGAAAAATGAAATGATCCTCACAGCCCAACATCCTGGCTTGGAGCAGGGATTCCAGATATCTGTGTGATTTTATGAAACTTTAACTTTCCCACTTTATTTTTTTAAGCTTATTTATTTATTTTGAGAGAAACAGTGAGAGTGGGGGAGGGGCAGAGAGAGAGGGAGAGAGAAAGAATTCCAAGCAGGCTCTGCACTGCCAGCACAGAGCCCAATTCAGAGCTCAAACTCATGAACCCGTGAGATCATGACCTGAGCCAAAACCAAGAGTCAGACGGTAAACTAACTGAGCCACCCAGGCGCCCCTAACGTTCCCACCTTGAAAGTCCAGAATTACTTTCTTTCTTTATGATGAATTAAAGAATTACATGTGGCTTGAGAAGTTTCTGTGAGGGGCGCCTGGGTGGCTTAGTCGGTTGAGCGTCCGACTTTCACTTGGGTCATGATCTCGCGGTTCGTGGGTTCGAGCCCCGCGTCGGGCTCTGTGCTGACTGCCAGCTCGGAGCCTGGAGCCTGTTTCAGTCTGTGACTCCCTCTCTCTCTGACCCTCCCCTGCTCACGCTGTCTCTCTCTCTCTCCTAGAAATAAATAAAACATTAAAAAAAAAAAAAGAAGTTTCTGTGAAGTTTATAATACCCTGTCAGATAAATAGTGACATGCTAGTGACCCTGGTGATTTCCCTGAACAACCTCTGTTTAGATGGTGATTCCATTACAAACCCCGAGGACAGGTAGCTCTCAACCCAGAAGCACACAACTTTGCTTATCTGTCTCTGGGCTGTTACATCCAAATGCCATAAGAATCCATCAAACTCCACCTCTGTATCACATAAGAAGCTTGAAAGAAAATTGAAAGATGGATTTTCATCCTGCTTTGTGAGTTCAGGCAGATCCTAGAATTTTTCTGGAATTCTGCCTACTCTGTAAAATGGGAGTGACAATGGCATCTATGGTGATTCTTAGAATGTGTCCCACAGACCTCCAATAACAGAAAGCAAAACTGACCAAGGGCAGGGTGAAATCCATCACCATGTTTATGCCGAGGCTTGATTTCCCTCAAACTCCTTCTAACCAGTTCCTGAGTACAGCAGGAATGGACACAGTAAAGCAGACCTAGTCCTGGGAGACCTGGGGCTCTTCTGGTTGCCTTCATTGCCTCAAGGACTCTGATGGCCCTGCCAAGCTATCCTTAGACTGCAGCATGGTCAGGAGCACTTCTATCCAAACATGTCCCCTCTATCCTCCACTCAGAGTCTGATTTAGATCATGATCTGACAACTTTCCCAGCCTCCCCAGCTTCCTTCCCATCTTCTGTCACACACAAATATTTGCCCTCATAAAACCCTTGCACTTTTCATTCCATCTTGGTGTCTGCTTCTCAGACGACCCAGAGTAATATACCATCCTATCCACCTCTCAGAGGTGCCAAGAGACACCCAAAAGCAGAAAGCTTTCAACACGCATAAAAGCCTCTTATCACAAATCTTTTTAGACTTCCCCTTAGCACAGCACTTGTACTGCTTTCCCCCTGAAGAGAAAAATGTTTTGTTGACTGAGCTGGGGGATACCTGGCTGGTGGCTTCTATAGCAGACATTCCCTGTGAACCTGGGCCAGAGCCTGCATACCTCCATAACCTCACTCCCTGGCTTTGTTCTCAGAGCACAGTGGGGAGCAGGATAGGGCAGAATCCAGAAACTTAGGAGATGAAGTCCTAGCCCTCCCTGCTGTTCATTCTTTGCATAAGATTTTTGCTATGGTCTGAATATTTGTGTCCCCCACCCCCATTCATATGTTGAAAACTTAATGCCCAAGATGATGGTATTAAGAGGCAGGGTCTTTGGGAGGTGATGAGGCCGTGAGAGTGTGTACCCATCATAAATGAGATTAGTGCCCTTATAAAAGAGGCCTTAGAGAGCCAGCTAGCCCTGTCTGCCTTGTAAGGATACACAAAGTGACCCAGAAGAGGCCTCTCACACGACCGTGCTGGCACCCAGATCTCAGACCTCCAGTTTCCAAGACTGTTAAGAAATTTCTGTTGTTTATTTCTTACAGTTTTGGAGCCTGTGGAATTTTGTTATAGCAGCCTGAACAGACTAAGATAATCATCTTGGTTCTTTCTCCTCTTTGGGCTTCAGTTTCCCCATATGTATGACAAGGATTGAACTAGATCTGTGATTTTCTTTTCTTTTCTTTTCTTTTTTAATGTTTTATTTATTTCTGAGAGAGAGAGAGACAGCGTGAGCAGGGGAGGGTCAGAGAGAGGGTGAGACACAGAATCTGAAGCAGGCTTCAGGCTCTGAGCTAGCTGTCGGCACAGACCCCGATGCAGGCCTCGAACCCATAAATCGTGAGATCATGACCTGAGCTGAAGTTGAACGCTTAACCGACTGAGCCACCCAGGCCCCTAGATCTGTGATTTTCAAGCAGGGTTCATGGGAAATTTAGCAGCAATGTCTCAGAGGTAAGGGGTTTCCTGGTTCATCTAAGGCCACTCAGCTTTCATCTGTTTGCTATCGGGCTCTAACATAATATGCATGGACCAGTGTTCTTCCACCAAAGAAACTTTATGTACAAAGAGAAATGCCTAATCCAGGCAGCAGGTACTGCTGGGCCAGAATCTACTCAGTTGGGATGCTGGTGGTGTTTAGAGAAGGAGGGATGGGCACAAGAGGATTGTGGCTGTCAGAAGCAGGCAGTAGGAGGTCTAGATACTGGAAGATTCCATTAGACACAAGGAGCAGGGCTGGCCTCATATAGTTGGAAGAAATCACAGGGAGTGGTATTGGAGATATCAGAGCATCCAGGACTTCAAATAGACCAAGGAGTCCAGACCTTCTCTGTCTGCAAGTGGGGGGTCAGAGAAGGCAGCCTCCAGCCCTCACTGAACAAACATTTGCCAAGTGCCCACGGTGGGCAGGACCATATAGTTTGTATCAGGGAGGAAGCAGAGGTGTGGCTTACAAGATCCCCCCTGGAGCAGGAGGCTCCCAGACTAGTTCCCCATGGCTCCAAGCTGTGTCCTCAATCACTCACTCAACCAACATTCACTGATGTGGTAGCCAGCCTGAGATGACCTCAAAGATCCCTTTCCCTTGCCCTAATGGTGGTCAAGGTGGGAGGGCCCATACTGAATAGAGGTGACCTAAGCTATCAGAGAAATAACAGTATTAGAATTAAATAATAAATGAAGACATGAGAGAAATGAGTGTGACTTTTGGGACTGAGTCAAGAAGGACATTGTGGCTTTTTGCTCTCTTTCTCACTCACCCTGATGGAAGCCAGCTACCATGTCATGAGGACACTCAAGATGCCCTGTGGAGAGGCCCAAGTGGCAAGGAACCAAAGCTGGCTGCCAAAAGTCATGTGAATGACCCATCTTGGAAGTGGACCCTCCAGCCCCAGCCAACCTTGCATATGACCACAGCCCTGGCCAACATCCAAAACTATTCCACTAAGCCACTTCCAAATACCTGATCCACAGAAACGGTGAGATAATTCATGTGTATTGCTTTAAGCTATAATGTTTAGGGATAATTTGTTATCCTGAACCTATACAACTCATGGTACTCTGTGCTGTGCCCAAAACACTGTTCCCATTGTCATCTGAAACACTGTAATACTTCTTCCCCAGTCTACCCCTGTCAATTTCCCCTCCCCATAGGATCCAGACCATACTAAAGGGCCATTATCAGGAAATGCTTATTGAACATCATAGCTCTTCCTGCTCAAAGCCTCCCATGGCTCTTCATTGTATTTTGTGTTACTTCCTGGACATATTGGCAAGTGAGCAGGAGCAGTGCAATGCTGGAGTTTCTGGCACCCCAGAGCTGATTCTGGAGCAGAGTAGAGAGCAAGAAGAGTCCTTGTTTGCTCTGCCCACCCCCATGACAATCCAAGGGCCCCCTGGGGAGGTTGGGAGGGGCCCCCTGGCAGCTGGGGCTAAGACAAGGCAGCAGCTTTGTTCTGAATCCACAATGGCAGGATGCCCAGCACAGACCCAGCTTCCCTGGCTTCCTCCAAAGCAGGGCAAGGGGGTGGTAGCCAGGGCATCCACCCTGCTGTGCTCCAAGAGCAGGCTCTGGGGACTCTCAAACTGTAGAGGAAGGCTTGAGGGGAGAGGGATGGCTAGTGTGAAAAGCCTTGGGAAGGAACTGTGAAGTGTCTGTTGTTAGTCTGCTAATGTTTCTTAAGGACCTATTAGGTTTCAGGCACTATTGCTAAGCGCTTATTACACAATATTCCACAATAACTCCAGCCTCCTGGAGCTAGACGGGTTAGGTTCTACTGCTGCCCCCACTTAACACAGAGGCACAGGAGAAGGCCTTTGCCTGGGGTCACACAGCTTAGACACAC